GACCTGTTAACAGGTCCTTACAACTTGGCCAGTACAAGCATCACCGAGTACTGCTTGGTGCCCCACCAGGCCGAACAGCGCCGAATGACCGTATTTGAAATTTGTTCAGACACCCCAGAGCTCCTACTTCCTTTAGGCCTAGGCAAGAGCCGTCATCTCCATTACGGTGACCCTAATTTTACACAAGGATTCCTTTAGCTCCTCCCCTGAGGTTATGAGCACTCAGTCCTCGAATGCGCCACTTACCTAAACTCGCTTTTCGCCTGATAGTCATGATCGCATATGTAGAATCCTTTTCTCTGCAGCTGAATAATGTCGCCCTTCTTCACGTTTCGCAATGCCGGTTCGCCAAGCATTTTGGTGAAATGCTAAAAGGGAGCTATAAAAAGCCAAAAAAATACTCAACCATGGCACATGCAACGAACCACTGAGTCATAGTTGATGAAATTCTTCCAGTCCTCTTCTTTGCCAACAACAGCCTTACTAATGATGTGATCATACTCAATCGTCATAACTGGAATGCATGCGGCGCTGGGTTCCTCAGCTTCGGCAATCCATGTCACCTTCATTGTCTTCTTGAAGTCCTGAAAAAAAGGATGATTGAAAATGGGTAGGGACATCCAAAGAAGAGCCAGTTTACACAAGAAGCACTGATTGATAGCACTAGCTGACGAAAAAGCGCTCACCTGATTAGCAAGATCCAAAACCGCATGAATTTCTGTGACAACACCATTTTTCTTATCTACTGAGACGATCTTAAGGTTGCCCCAGTTGACAAAAGTAACCGTATCTCCAGATTTCATCTCAAGTGCATCAACTTGTTCCACCAACAATTTTGCACTCCTCCACACCGTCTTCTTTCCAACGTCGGCATTCTGAATAACAACAGTTGAGGCTAGTGATTTCTGATGGATTGAGGACTGTACACTATGAACAACATTAACAAAGGAAAGCTCCGGTGCTAGAACGTGTACTGAAAGTATTTACGGGCTCGGATGTGGAGAGTGACTTCTAAGCTGCGGTATCTCGCGCACTTAGCACAGTATTTCCTAACCAGTTGACTCGCCAGGCACAGACACTGAGAGAGCGAGTCTATTTGAGATATGACGCAGAGACGGTTGAGGGATTTGAGGCGCCGCAGCATTGTTGAGTGGATTGGGTCCTGGTGCGAATGCTGCGGTTACGTGACATCTTGAACTTTTGGTGGCGGTCCTGCTACGGTCCTGCGAAACTCTGTGACGCAGACGGATAGAGGGCAGCGGTCCAAAGCATCGAAACGTGCCAAAAACGTATTGCGAGTCAGGGAGTGGGATTTTTCAAGGGGAGGGGACTCCAGGCTGGGTGAGCCACTTACCATGTGTCAAAAAGTGGAATATGAGAGGTCACAATGAGCGCAGAATGCAACAAGGACG